TGACCTCCCGTGTGGTCACCGACTCGCCATTGCACATGCCGTGCTCCGTCGTGTGCCTCCCTTGCCATCCTCACTTCTTCGTTTGCCTCGGCAAGGCGGTCGTTTGTCCTCGCCGGAGAGCAACCCCGACACATGTGGGCAGGGATGGGCTACACATGATGGTGTGGTTATAAGTCCTCATCCACACACTCGCCACGTGTCGATTGTTGAACGCTATAGTCGGTCGTGTGGATGTGACCGTTGCCATCGTCGTTGTTGTGTGGATGTTATCATAAACAACCACTACGGTGGAGGCGGGCGACGAAAAAAACCATTTTTGGTTGTTATCGTAGGGGTGCTAGCCATCGCTATCCTCCTTTCCACAACTCTCGTGTTGTCCGTCGTTTTCTGGTGCACGATCGTGTACTTGTGTTGTCGTCGGTGGAGATAAGCAGCAAAGCGTTGTTGTTGGAGGGCGCATTACGTGTTTGTAGTTGTTGCCTCTGTATATATACCTTCCGCAACCAAATGGAGTCGTACCGGTCGACGACAGATCCCTGTGCAGGCAATGATGGGGGATTCCAAACCCAGGACATGCGACAAGAAGGATATGTCCCGTACTCCTCGCCTTCATCGACGACTATGTCGTCCTTCAGCGGGCTGTTGCAGGAGCTTGTGCGTGCGGGGCCGATTCAAGTGCCACTTGCTCGTGTGCCCTCTCCATCTGTCCATCATGCGGAAGGTGCACGTCGGCGGTTCGTTGTTCGACCCACTGCAGACAGTTTGCCCGCGGGCCTCGTGCACACAGGCCAGACGTCGTTTTGCACACAGGTTGGAGGCGGGTATGGCATGCCTTCTGCGCACATGTTCCCGGGCGGCGGTGGATATGGCATTGCTCCGCACATGTACCCCACCCAGCACACTATGGAAAGGGGCGGAGTGATGAGGGACGACTGGCAGTGGTCCCCACAGTGCCGACATCCGTCGCAGCCCATGTCCGCTCCCTCGCCCATGTCGGTGAGGCGGTCTGCTGCCGAGCCCTCACCTTCGACGGCAGATATGCACGGAGAGGATATGGATGAGGGGTGGCCTGTCCAGAGTGCAACTTCATCGTCTGCCGGCATGCAAGGTCGTTCCTTTGGTGGCGAAGAAGATGAGGTGGCTGGCGACGATGAAGTTGAAGGTGATGGCGGTGACATTGATGGGCAAAACTCAGACAACGTGCAGGGGGATAGGGACAGTGCTAGTGTTGGATGAGAGATGGGGGCGAGAATGTGGTTGGGCCCCGAAGCAGCCGGGGCAAATATGGTGCTGCGAAAAACAAGAAGCAAAACATCTCGTGGAGCTTGGATGAGAGGATCATTATGTCCAGATTGATGGTCGAGGATGACGCCCTTATGGCCGACACCGACGGGCAGCATCGGTTCAAGAGGAGGAAGGACCGATATGAGTGGGTGCACGATCGGATGGCGGAGCAGGGGTTTCCGCACACGTCGGCGGAGGATTGTCGTAAGAAGTGGCAGGGCATGTTGGCGGCAGCGAAGTTGATTATCGACAAGTGTGAGAATGCTTCGGGCAAACCTTCGTACTGGGACATGACCGTTGAGGAGCGGAAGGCGGAGCAGGTGCCACTAGGCTTTGAGAAAGCTCTGTGGGAAGCGATGGAGTGGAAACTTGATCGGCCATCCGTCAAGTGTGACAAGACGCTGGCGTCCGAGGACCTGCCAGGTAACATGGGGCGAAATTCAACAAGCGCCGGTCCAGCACAGCCGTCCTCAGGGAGGAGTGCTTCCGACGGTAAAGCAACGGAGGATTCGGACCAAGCAGCGACGACCCAGAGGACGAATACCGGCAAAACCAGGATGGACGACACGATCAGCGGTGGGACAACATTGGGTAGGGTGATGGAGGACGCGACACGCTTGTACAACGAGGGTTTGGATAAGGCCGCTGCCACTCTGGCGAAGGCAACGTCAGAGGCAGGCTCGACGATTCGGCGAAGATCGGTGACGTCGCAGATGCCATGCGTGGGGGGAACACTGTCCTTCAAGTTGAGATGCTCGTGGGGGTTCTTGCGAGGCGCGGGAGTGGGGGGAACAGTGCTGCATACGAGAGGGCGGATACAGACCCCTCGACTAGTTAGAACTGCTCTATATATGTATATTTACATATATATATGTATATATATATATGTATATATATATATATACATCTAGGCTACCAGCCGGGCCGCCCGGGTCCCGGGTGGCCAGCCCGTGCAAGGACAAGGGAAGGTCCCAGCCAAAAAAACAAGAACTCCAAAAAATCCGAAAAAATACTATGTAATGTAGAAAAATAAACGGAACAACTTTTGCCTCAGGGTCACATCGAAATTCGTTACCAAATTTAAAATATAAAATAAATTTAATTTTTTTTTTTTTTTTTTTTTTTTTGAATGCTTTTGGCCCAGCCGGGCAAGTGACCCTGGGCCACTCTGGTAGCCTAGATATACATATATATATATATATATACATATATATATATATATATATAGGTACAGACCGGTCGACGGTGCCCGAACAAGGGAATGGACACCCGACGTGGATGTCGGGACGGGGAAACGACAGCCAGCACCCATCTTGGCCATTGTGAATGGGAACCGGTAGCGGGTGCCTGCGTATATATATGTGGGCAGTCGTGGCTTCACTGGGCAGCGCAGTCGTTGGTCGGCGGCTCTTCAGTCGACGACGCAGTTCTCGCGAAACGAGGAGTGGTCTACATGCGAAGGCAGAGAGAGAGAGAGAGAGAGAGAGAGAGAGAGAGAGAGAGAGAGAGAGAGAGAGAGAGAGAGAGAGAGAGAGAGAGAGAGAGAG